CAGGAAAAAACAGTTTATGGGTTCAGAACTATCCATGGTTTCAGGCACCTTTTGGGCAGGGGGAGGGATCTTGGAACGTACTCCCCAGAGATTAAGGGGGATCCTATAGTCCAGAAACAATCGTTTCCAGAGGCCTACGCCTATTAAGAAGACAGAGTTCTTTATGGAGACCAGATTAAAATCCCCTCGCCCAGAGGAAAGATAAATGAGGAATTGATTTGTGACAACGGTGATGAGGTGGGTTCCAGAAGGAAAGGCCAGGGGCCCTGCTTCCTGGGCAGCACCCCAGAGAACATGATGGCAGAGAAGGCACTACTGTCTAGGGTGTGTAGGCTGGCCGTGCCCCAGGCAGCCTCTCCGAGACCCCAGGCCCCATAGCGGTAGAAAGACCCCATGGCCCCCAAACTGAAATTGGAAGTTGAGGAGAGAGTTCAGTGACCAGAAGGCACACGTACAGGAACAGGATACTTCTTGGTGACTCTGGGGAAACACGCTAAGGCCCACCCACCCAACGTGCTCCTCTAGAACGTGGACACCATTCCGCAGAGAGAAGAGCCCAAACTCTGAAATTAATTCGCTGTCACTCTAGCCGACTGGAAGCCCAAAACATAATATTATCTAAAAATAAAGACAATATTGGGGCACCTGGGTGGCTCAGTCGGTTAAATGTCCTACTTTGGCTCAGGTCATGATCTCGCGGTCAGACGTGAGTTCGAGCCCCATGTTAGGCTCTGTGCTGACAGCTCAGAGCCTGGAGCCTGCTTCGGATTCTGTGTCTCCCTCTCTCTCTCTGCTCCTCCCCCACTCATGCTCTGTCTCTCTCTTTCTCTCTCAAAGATGAACAAACATTTAAAAAAATCTTTTAATAAAGAAAATACCATTTATTGCACACCCGAGTTGGTAAACTGAGATTCATGCTATGGTAGGAAAAACCACCATTTGTAAGGACTTAACAGAGCACTTTATATCCATTATCTCATTTAACCTCATTTCATGTGACGGGAGGTCACTACCTCATACTATTCTGCTGCATCTTCTGACAGGGCAGATGTCCCCCCTGGGGAAAACTGCATAAAAACGGACATTGACTTTGTGCCAGGCCCTTATGCTAAGGGCTTCGTGTCACTTAATCCTCGTCCTAATCCTGTGAGATGTGTATCACCACCTCCATTTTACAAATGTGAAAACAAATTCAGCGTTTGTTGTTTTTTTTTTAAATATTTTTATTTACTTCTAGGAGAGAGAGAGAGAGAGAGAGACAGCGTGAGCAGGGGAGGGTCAGAGAGAGTGGGAGATACAGAAGCTGAAAGAGGCTCCAGGCTCTGAGCTGGCAGTCAGCACAGAGCCCGACGCGGGGCTCGAACCCACGAACCGCGAGATCATGACCTAAGTGAAAGTCGGACGCTTAACTGACTAAGCCACCCAGGCACCCCCAGCGTTTTTTGATTAGAACCTTCTAGAAGCTTTACTTTATGTTACTTGTAATCCATGAGAGAAAACTAGGTCCAGGAGGCTAATAGGAGATTCTATGATAAGATTTATAAAGTGAGTTTCTTTATAGTTTAAATACACAAATTCCCTTTTATTTTCTCCAACAAACATTCTAAGATTAAATGAATGAATAATCTTCTTAGCCAAATATCATATTCTTTGCAGTTAACATTGTTCTTGCCACTTTATCTTTCTGTACTTTCATTTGGATATTTCCCGTTGGCCCGTCTTCAAATTTACCAACCTCCTGCCTTTGCTGTGTCCACGTTGCCACTCAGCCCATCTGAATTCTTTATTTCAGATGTTAGATCTGCCCATTCTGAAATGTTCATTTGGTTTTTTACAGATCCCAGTTCTCTGTTGAAATTCCCCATCTGGTCACCATTTTGTCCATTGCCCCCACTATTTTCTTTAACATATTTAAATAGTTATTTTATTTTATTTTATTTTATTTTATTTTATTTTATTTTATGTTTATTGATTTTTGAGAAAGACAGAGCATGAGCCGGGGAGGGGCAGAGAGAGAAGGAGACACAGAATCTGAAACAGACTCCAGGCTCCGAGCCGTCAGCACAGAGCCTGATATGGGGCCCGAACCCACAAACTGCAAGATCATGACCTGAGCTGAAGTTGGACACTCAACTGACTGAGCCCCCCAGGCGCCGCTAAATAGTTATTTTAAATCCTTGACATCCAGATTAGATGTGGGTCTACTTTGATTGTCTCATTTTACCCCCTCTTGATGATCCATTGCATTGCCCGGCTGTATTAGTTTCCTATTGCTGCTGTAATAAATGACCACAGACGTAGTTGTCTAAGACCATGATGACCTACTATCTTACAGTTCCAGAGGTCAGAGGTCCAGAATCAGTCTTGCGGAGTTAAAGTCAAGGTATTGGCAGAGCTGGATGCTTCCGGAGGCTCCAAGGAGGGATCCGGTTCTTTGCTTTTTCCAGCTCCTAGGAACCACCTGCATCGTTGACTTGTGATCCCGTCTTCCCAGAACCCCAGCTTATCGCTTCCATCTTCACTTCTTCTCCTGACTATCACCCTTCTGCCTCCTTCTCATCAGGACCCCTGTGCTTTTGTTGGGTGACCCGGGATAAACCAGGATAATGTCTCCATCTCAAAATCCTCAATCACATCTGCAAAGTCTCTACATTCACAGGCTCCAGGAGTTAGGACAGACATATCTCAGGGAGGCCAGTGTTCAGTCTACGGTAACCTGCTTTTTCTATGACTTGTAATTTTCTGTTATATGCCAAATATTGTGCCTAAAAGAATCACAGAAGTTGAAGTTAATTGTATTTCCCCTGGAGGGTTTATCCATCCTCCAGAAGGCAACATAGCTTAAAGGGATGATGCCTCAATCCAATCAGGAATGGAGCTGAATTGGAGTGAGTTGCAGCTTTAGTTAGACTCTGTCCATCTCCTGTTTTTAATTATCATGAGAATGAGATCTGCCTTGGGTTTGTTGCAGCCCCTTCCCTTTAATGGGACTCTGCCTTCTGAGCACTAAGAGACTGCAGATCTTACCCTGACTTTCCAGCGGAGGCCCCAGCCAGGCCCTCCCCTATTCCCCGCCCCAAGTCTACCCCAGCACTTACCAAATAGCCCATGGGCAAAAGAGCCTCATATCTAGATTGTAGCCTGTAAAGTCAGCCTGAGCGGCCTCAACAGCTTGGTGTAAACCAAACAGTCTTTAGTCTATGACCAGACTTCACAAATGACCGAGGGAAAAATTGACCAACAATCTCAGCTCACCGAGAATGGGCTCTTTCTTCGCTGTTTCCACCGCCCTCTGATGTCTTTAAAAATATGATGGGGGGGGGGGGGGCGCCTGGGTGGCTTAGTTGGTTAAGCGTCTGACTTTCGCTTAGGTCATGATCTTGCAGTTCGTGGGTTTGAGCCCCGCGTCGGGCTCTGTGCTGACTGCCAGCTCAGAGCCTGGAGCCTATTTCAGTCTGTGACTCCCTCTCTCTCTGACCCTCCCCTGCTCACGCTGTCTCTCTCTCTCTCTCTCTCCTAGAAATAAATAAATATATATTTTTAAAAAATATGATTTTGGGGGGCGCCTAGGTGGCTCGGTCGTTAAGCTTCCGACTTCGGCTCAGATCTTGGTCTCGAGGTTCATGGGTTCAGGCCCCATATGGGGCTCTACGCTGACAGCTTGGAGCCTGAGCCTGCTTTGGATTCTGGGTCTCCCTCTCTCTCTGCCTCTCCCCTGCGTGTGTGTGCGCGCGCGTGCACTCTCTCGCTCTCTCCCTCTCAAAAATAAATAAATAAACTTTAAAAAAATATATATGATTTTTGTAGCTTATCCTTTTCCCCCAATTGCTGCAGCAGGAATGATGACCTACTGGTACTTCCTACATCCTACTCCGAGACAGAAGTTCCTTGTGGATAATACCGAATATTCCAGAAGAACTTTGCAGTATCACTGGATATCTCAGAAAGCTTCTTGCATCTTGTCAGCAAACACAAGGCAGGCTGTGTATATATAACCTTAAATTAATTTATTTATTTTTAAAGTTTTATTTATTTTTTTTTTTACTAATTTCTACACCCAAGTGGGCCTCAAACTCACGACCCTGAGATCAAGAGTTGCATCTTGATCGGCTGAGCCAGCAGGCACCCCTAAGCTAAATTCAATTAAGATCTTGCTCCATCTACCTGGTCTCTTAACTATTATGTTTTTTACCTTGCTCCTGAGTGATTAGGAGTGTAAATATACTTATCTTACTAGCACACAGTTTGAAAATTCAATGTTGTTGATGTAATAGCATGTGTTCTTCCTAAGGTTTATAAAATACCATTGCAACCTCTAGGTTTTGAAGTCTGTTTTAGTACTATGAGTAGGTAACACTCTCAGATGTGTAAATATCGAAAGATAGAAAAGGATATAAGGGGAAGTCTACGATTCTTTCCCCCATTTACTCGGTTATCATTCCACTATAGGTATCCTTGATTATTAATTTATCAGAAAAAAATTAATGCATTTGCAAGCAGGTACGTAGAAACACTATTTTCCCCTCCTATCACAACACAAACAGTAACATATTATGCCTACTAGTTTGCACCCTGCAAATTTTTTAGGCATGCAAGGGCACTTATCAGCTCATGTACTTGACCTCACCGCAGGATCCAGGGTGTCGCACAATCCATTCAGAGCCCAGTTTCTTTCCCTATCTTGCCTGTACTCTCCGCTGTGGTGGTTTCTCCCAGGCTGGCTCCCACTCCTCCACCTGGCGCTCCCTTCGCAATCCCAGCTCCAAGATGACACCCTAACAGGCTGACCACCCCACCAGAAAGGGGACACCTGCTGCGCACCCAGTTCATTCTCGCAACGGACCAGCGGGAGCCACAGGCCAGTCCCTGAGCCAATCACGGAGGCCAAGACAGCGGGAGATGCTGATTGGCCAGCCGGAAGTCACATGACCGCTTCCGGTGCTCCAGGCGAGAAGCCATTGCCGCCTTGCCCAGAGTCGCGTGGCCCGGGAGTTGGCCGGGGTGACTCTCCGAAGGGGTATCAAGGCGTGGCGAGCGGACGGTCCTCCACGGGTGAAAACGACAGAGGTTTATGCCGCGGAGGTTCTGGTTTGTTGTCTTTGGGGCTTGGGGGCGGCCCTTTCATGCCTGGAAGGCCCTGTGGTACGCCTAACACACACGTGGCTGCGGTGACACGCCCGGCGTGGAGAAGCGCGGCTCAAACCGTTTTCCTGGGTTCTGTATTTGTCTATGTGACGTCTGTTAACCACGGGGCCACACGAACAGCCAGAGTTGTTTACATCTCCCCCGCGATGCTGCTTTTGCAAGCTCTGAAAGCCCAATTCAAACCCTCCAACCTGGTCCTAAGCCCGCACCCACAGCCCCTTCCTTTCCATAACCCCCGATCCCTTGCCAGTATTTCCCCTGCCCTAAATCAACCCAGGGCTTGGGGCCAGACATCTCGGGACAGGCCCTATGCCCCAAATCCTGAAGGAAGTATTCAAACTAGGACTTTATCAGGTAAACACTCAAAGCAAAACAGAGGAGGGGGGTGCCAGGGAAGGTCTGGGACAGACAGGAGACAGGAAAAAAAAAAAAGGGAAAAACTACCCACCTAAAGGTACAGCTGTGTGGCTGTGCTAGTAGATTTTTTTTTTAAGTTTATTTATTTATTTTGAGAGAGAGGAGAAAGAGAATCCCCAGCAGGCTCGAACTCACAAACTGTGAGGTCATAACCTGAGCCCGAAATCAAGGTCCCAACGCTCAACTGAGCTACCCAGACGCCCCAAAAAGATTTTGTTTAAGAGGAAAAAACAGATGTGTGTCTGGAGGGTAACAAGAAAGGGACAGGTTAGGCTGTGGAAATATTGGGAGAGGTTTCTGCCCAGAAGCCCTGGGCTCTTCTCTCTCCTTCTTTCCTCTTATCAGCTGGAAACAGAAACTAAAAACCAGTGCTTCGGACAGCTAAAAGCCTCAAACAGGAGGAAAATGGTAGGCAGAGAAAAAAGAACAAAAGAAAACCAAACCCTAGATACAGGGGGAGAAAATAAAGGGCAACTAAATAGATTATGTATGTAATATTTTAATGCAGATGTATAATAGATACATTGCATATGTATATATGATATCTAACTAAAAGACCTTTCTTTTTTTTTATATAATGTTTTTATTTATTTCTAGGAGAGAGAGAGAAACAGCGTCAGCAGGGGAGGGTCAGAGAGAGATGGAGTCACAGACTCTGAAACAGGCTCCAGGCTCTGAGCTGGCAGTCAGCACAGAGCCCGACGCGGGGCTCAAACCCATGAACCGCGAGATCATGACCTAAGCGAAAGTCGGACGCTTAACCAACTAAGCCACCCAGGCGCCACTAAAAGACCTTTCCTTAATTTGACCCAATTGGAAATCCAAAGTTTATGTGCAAACAATTTATATACTCAATTTATATAACAAACGGTAAAAAATAGTGCTGATTGTCGTTTGTGTGTCTGTAGCCCAAGCTCTAAATTAACTTTAGCGCTTGCTAAAATGTACCAATTTGACAAAACTTTGTGGTCCTAATACTGGGGCTCAAATTATAGTTCTATCTAGAGATTCCACTAAATTTAAACATCATGCCTGCTATAACCTTAAGAAAGTAATTAAATATAAGCTAGAGAAAAAAAAAATTGGAATGTCTCACTTTAACTATAGCCTTGCCTAAGTTTCCCGTAGTCATAATACCCATTGCCCTAAAAGTATGCCATATTGGATACACACTCTCTGACACAATGAACTGAAATTAAAACTAGATCTTTGGCTGGGGTGCCTGGGTGGCATAGTCCTTTAAGCCTCTGACTCTTGATTTCAGCTCAGGTCATGACCTGATGGTTCGTGAGATCAAGCCCCGAGTCGGGCTCTTGCACTGACAGTGTTGCACTTGCTTGGAATTCTCTCTCTCTGCCCTGCCCCCGCTCACATGTGTGCTCTCTCGCTCTCTCTCTCTCTCTCTCTCAAAATAAGTAAATAAACATTTTTTAAAAACCCAACAAACTAAATCTTTGGCACTTACAAATTGGCACGATACAATGGGACTCCACCGACCCCTTAGTTAAAATAGCTATTACAGCCCAATATAAGTTAAAATAGGGCCTTCGAGGATTAAAACGTATTATATAAAACGTAATTAAGAAAGGGGCAATGATCCCCACTCCTTCTCTATTTGGCAGGCCAATTTTGCCTGTCTCTTAAACCTGGAGAAAACAAAGGATGCTGTATCAGTCACCTTGGGCTGTCATAACCAAATACCACAGACTGGGTGACTTGAACAGCAGAAACTTATTTTCTCACAGTTACGAAAGCTGGGAAGCCCAAGATCAAGGTGTTAGCTGATTCAGGTTCTGCTCAGGCCCCTCTTCCTGGCCTGTAGGCCTTCTCCCCGTGTCCTCACGTGGCCTTCCATCCGTGGGGCAGAGAAAGAGTAATCTCTCTCTTCCTGTTCTTGCAGAGCTGCTAGTCTTGTTGGCTTGGGGGCCCGCCCTCATGAATCTTAGTTATGTTCATAAAGCCCTTATCTCCAGAGACAGCCCCAGTGGGGGTGGGACTTCAACACATCAGCTTTGGAAGGATGCTAATAGTCTATAACAGGTGACTTGGTGGATTATTGCATCATTAATGCTCTGGCCCCCTTACCCAACATCTAATATCATTAAAATTACTGAATTGAGGGGCGCCTGCATGGCTCACTCAGTTGAGCATCTCAACTCTTCATTTTGGCTCAAGTCATAACGCCAGGGTCATGGGATCGAGCCCCGTGCTGTACATGGAGCCTGCTTAAGATTCTCTCCCTCTCTCCTTTTCCCCCTTCCCTCCTCCATCTGCCCCTGTCCCCAACTCATGCTCGCTCTCACTCTCTCTCAAAAAAAAATTTACTGAATCTATCCAATCATTAATGGGTTTATATTTTGCTCTTATAAATGTGGCTAATATGTTACATCGAGTCCCTATTTTAACAGCATCTCAGCCACACTTTGCCTTCGCTTCTGAGGGGACACACTTGGTACCTTTTCCAGACATGGGGAACCTCAACAGCTTGGCCACCACACATGCCGTCTGTGCAGAGAGGATCTCCACCGTGTCCACCAGAAGCACAGGTATGTCATGACTCATAACGTCCTCTCCAAAGAGATTCATTTGACACACTCATTGCGGATATATAGGTCTTGTATCTTTTTGTCCTCTTGAGGGCTAGTGGCGACATAGTCCTCATTTACAAATTTTGCTTCCAAATTAAAATCAACAGGCATTCCCATTAGTGTCCTCAGAAACTCCTTTACTGTAGAGTCTTGGGCAAACTCTTCTTATGCCTCCTGGAGTTTCTAGACTACTTATGATGGCCGTAAATTACTCAAAAGCTTGTGATGCAAGAAACAAGCATAAGTTTCTAGACTACTTATGGTGGCCATAAATTACTCAAAAGCTTGTGATGCAAGAAACAAGCCCTCTAAGCCTCCTGATGTACATGATTAAAACAATGATAACTGGCCACACACTGGGCTGTCCTGGGTGTAGGGGCTCTCAGAGATCCTGAGTCTGTAACTTTCTGTATCCAGCTGAGCTGCTCAGCTCAGCTTTGGGTCATGTGCTTTGGGTCATGGAAACTGAGTCCCGTGAGGCACCTGCCTCACATCAGTCAACCCCTTGGCCCCTTGGGGAAAGGACTCCTCACTCCCCAGTGCCTTAGACTCCTGCCTCTGTCTCCACCCATGATCACTCCTTCTTCATGATTATACACAATACCACTCATCTGTCCATAGACTTTTCTAAATATCAGCTCAGACCTTCCAGCAACATAACTGCCTTGACCTGAGAATACCAATTGACCTGAGAAAGACACCAAGACATTATTGTCAAAATCACTTTTTTTTTAATGTTTACTTTTGAAAGAGACAGAGACAGAGCATGAGCAGGGGAGAGGCAGAGAGAGAGGAAGACAGAATCTGTAACAGGCTCTAGGCTCCGAGCTGTCAGCACAGAGCCCGATTTGTGGCTTGAACCCACAAAGCGTGACATCATGACCTGAGCAAAAGTCAGACGTTAAACCGACTGAGCCACCCAGGTGCCCCTTCAACATCATGTTTTTAATACAGTTTACAAACTCAACGAAGATACTATTAGAGACTCCAAAAATTTCGGGTCTGGTTTTTTGTTTTGTTTTGTTTTTTTGCTTTGCTAATGCTGTATAAATGGAAAACCAAGTTATGGGCTGGCCTAGAAGGACCCCCTTATACTTCCCACCTGTTCCTCTTTTTCACGTTCCTAGTAAAATGTTCTTAAAATGTTTCCTGTGTTGTTTAGAGCAACTTAGGCCCTACTTCCTGAAAGTCACCACTACTGCCACCCGAAAGTTTTCCTGATACCAGATAGCCACAGGGCCAACTGCTCTGTGTTTTTTTTAGATCCTGTATTTGTCCTTTTGACATCTACTAAACACGATGCCAAAGGAAGAGCCCAAACCTGTGATCGTACTTTTTCGAGCACAGAAAGTCATATCAGAAACCCTCCAGCCAATCTCAAGTCCGTAACCATAGCCACCTCCTTATCTGACTCTCCTGTGCTATGCCAGTGTTTCCCCTGGCCGAAGTCATTTCAGGCCGGGTACTAGACATCTGGGAACCCACTCCCCCATACCCCCAAGCCCACCACGATCATCCACACCAGCCAGTCCCAGGCCAGTTTCCCTGCCCTGGCTTATTGCCTTCCCTGCACAAACCCCGATAAAGGCTCCGGCTTAGGTTTTCCCTTGCTCCTTCCTATGCGTCCTGACCAAACCTGTCGCTTCCCCATGTGGCCCCACGTGGCGTGCTTCCTCCTCTTGGAAGTGTAAAGGAATACGATCTTTCCGTGCCCTCACTCAGTGACTTCTATAAATTAAAAATTTGCAGGTTCAATTACCACAGGAGCCGCCGCTCAGTTCTCAGCCCCAGAATACCAGGCTCATGCGCACACCTGCGTGTCCCTGGGTGTGACGTACAGTTTACCATTAGCCATTTTAAGTGTCCAGTTCATGACATCAGTTACACTCCCAGTGTCTGCATCCATCACCACCATCCATCTCGACTTTTTTCATCATCCCAGACAATTTGTACCTGTTTAACAGTAATTCCTTATACCCCCCGCCCCAAGCCCTGGTAACCACTACTTCCCACTTTCTGCCTCTGAATTCTGGTACCTGATGTTAGTAGAATCCTACAATAATTGTCCTTCTGTGCCTGGCTTATTTTATTTAGCGTAATTTTTCCAAGGTTCATATTGTTACATGTGTCAGAATCTTATCCCTTTTTAAGACTGAATAAGATTCCATTGCCTGTGTACATCACATTTGTTTATCCACTCATCTGCCAATAGACACATGGTTTGTTTCCACCTTTCGGCTCTTGTCAGTAACACCACTATGAGCATCAGTGTACAAATGGCATTCTCCACATAACAACCAAAAGGAGCTTTCTAAAATCTGTTCAAGTTACTTTTTTTGTTGCAGTTTTATACCTTTATTTGACAATCAGCTATTAGCTCCCATCCACATTACTGGTCTGTAGATTTTTTGAAAGTGGTGACAGGTACGTCGGCAACTAACTTGTAGAGCTGTATTGGTGAATCTTCATCCTCGCTACGTTTTCTAGACTACTGCACACGGATACGGTGGGAACATTCCTTATTCCCTTGGCCCAGACAGCTTTGTTGAACCTGCTGTCTGTGCCCCCATCTGAGTTTCCATCTCCTTCCTGGCAAATCCCTGGATCTCTCTGAGCGCTTGAGGGGCGCGCTTCTTGAGCTCTACTCCATGGATGCACTTGGGAATGTTGATGGTGTGTTTTCTGGACAGTACCCTGTTGATGGCAGAATGGCCCATCTCCTCACCACCTTCTCTACAGGAGCCATTCTGCCAGGCCCGGGGTGGAAAGGAATTGTTCAAGTTACTTTTCTCCTGAAAACCTTCTACGGTAAGTTTAACAACAAGGAGATACCATTAAACGCCCTGCAGAATAGCTAAAATGAAAAGGATTGGCAACGTCAGTGTTGGCAAGGATGCGGATATTGTGACACTTACGCAGTGTCAGTGGTAGTATAAAATGACACACCTGGGGCGCCTGGGTGGCTTAGTCGGTTAAGCGTCCGACTTTTGCTTAGGTCATGATCTCGCGGTTCGTGGGTTCGAGCCCCGCGTCGGGCTCTGTGCTGACTGCCAGCTCAGAGCCTGGAGCGTGTTTCAGTCTGTGACTCCCTCTCTCTCTGACCCTCCCCTGTTCACGCTGTCTCTCTCTCTATCTCCTAGAAGTAAATAAAACATTAAAAAATAAAAAATAAAATAAAATAAAATGATACACCTGCTTTGGAAACATGATTGTTTCTAGCAAAGTTAAATATACACTAACCCCTATGGCCCAGAAACCCCATTCCTAGATGCTGTTTACCCAAGAAAAAGTAATGCACAGTCACAAAAGACTTCTACAAAAATGTCCACAGCAGCTTTATTTATGATAGCCAAAGGGAAAAATCTCAAATGTCCATCAATAGATGAATGGACAAATAAATTGTAGCATGCTCATACAATTGCATGCTATTGATCAAAGAATTTTTAAAATCAAATATAATCATGACTGTCATAAAGATATAAGATAAACATATTTCAAAGCTTTTATTTAACTCACTAATTAAAGAGATCTAGAAAGATAGTACAACTGATTCAAAGGAAAATTCAAAATACACACATACTGTAGTTAAATGAGAAATAATAAAATATTTTACAAATAGATGCAAAACTGGCAGAACTGATCAAACTGACAATAATTAAATGCATTCCACAGGCTACAATTTGCATTTCTATAGACAAGACCCGGTCTTTAAAACAATTTAGAGTTGTTCTTTATCTCGAAGACAATGAAAGGTGTGAGCCTGCATAGAATCAGATACTGGTGAGGGTGTGCTACACAACACCTTACTTTTCACTGGACATAAGGCAGGATTTTGGGGGCCATTTCACAGTTTTTGCAATTTTTCTCTACGTTACACAGAAATAAATAAGAGTGAGTCTCTGGTACATACAATATAAATAAAGCTCACAGATACTATGTTGAGCCAAAAAAAAAAAAAAAAGTTACAGAAGCGTATACACTGTGTGATACCAGGTGACTGCTGGGGAGAGTGCTGGGGAGCTCTTTAGGGGAATCTTGCCACGCGCTGGAAATGGTATACACCTCGATCTGGGTGGTGGGGATACAAACGTACACACATATATGTAAAATCATTGATTTCACTTAAAATTAGGGCACCAGACTCTCCCTATCCCACTTGTCACCACATCCTTACAACAATTGCCATTTACCTTTAGGGTGAAGTCCAAACAGATCTGGTCCGTTTCCTCTCGTGTATTGTCTCTCCATATTGCTCATTTCCCTGACATTTCCTCAAAGGTAACTTATTGTCATCTTGCCGGTTTCCTGGCCTTTGCTTCCAAACCATGTCTTATTCCTCTCTCAGAGTCCTACGTAGAGCTGCCAATCTGTGGATGTGTCCTTCCTAGGTGCTCCCTTAATATGATCACGATTCCCATCGCTTTTGGCATCAATGTTCAAGTGTCTGCTTCCTCCGCAGCGGTGTAACATCCTGTGCGCTACATGAGAAAGTTCTCAAGAGCTTAGCACCATGCCTGGCACTAGGGAAGGCAGAAATGTGAAGGACAATGAAGAAAAAGGCTAGAGAATTCAGGCAGTGTGTGGCCCAGGCAATTTCAGCTGAGTTCTGAGATGACCCTACCTATCACCCTGGGTGGTACCCCTCCTTTGAGTGTAAGTGTATGCAGCTTTCTCTTTTGATAGATTTTTCATACCTTGTACTTTGTCTCTATCTTGCTTCCTATTTGGCCATTTTGCTATTAAAAATCTGCTTTTGCTTCTTCCTATAGAGAGTAAGTTAATAATGTGTTTTGTTTGCAGAGTGTTATTTTTGTAGCATTTAAAAATTGGTTGATTTCACACATAAACCCATTTTCAATTTTTCTTAAAAGAGAGAGGAAGGGAGGGAGGAAGAAAGGGAGGCAGGGAGGAAGGGCAGGAGGGAGGAAAGGAGGGAAGCGGAAGGGTGGGAGGAAAAGAAGGAAGGAAAGGAAATTAAAATATATATATATATATCTGGCATTACAGAGCCCACAGTCGCGCATGGCAACAATCAGCTGGAACAGCAGCAATGGCTTCTCACTCGGGTACTGCACTTGTCCCCGAGGCATCTGAGTTTGAGACCCCTTTCCCCGTCAATGACAATTTACAGTCGCTCACGTACTGGGGCAGAGGCCAGCTTTACAAGCGGGGGCGGGGGGGGGAGCAGAATCCCCCGAAGCCTCACAGAGACAGCGGGTTAAGAGCCAAAGAGACACGGGCGCAGAGCTTCGGCCTGGCCTGTGGGAATTGCCAAGTCTCAGGCATCTCTCAGATTCCGGGGTTTTTCACTCCCGCCCCGGCTCCCTTCCAGGCGCCCGTCTTAAATCCTCCACCAAAGCTAAGAAACACGAGGACAACAAAGCTCCTGAGAGTGCCGGAAGCCCAGGTTGAACCGCCGTCACCTGACCTCGCATTCCGGACTCTGATTGGGCGTCAGGAACACCCCGCCCCAGCAGCCCACGGGGGCGGGACAGGTGCCACGGCGCAAGGACACTGGTCGGTTTCCTCAGGAAGCAGCCAATCGGAATCGGCCGGCTTCCGGCGCGAAGTGAGCTGGCGCGCGGCGCGGGGGCTGCGGCGGCGGCGCGCGGAGTTTGGACCGGGGTTCCGCCCGCTGCGAGCCTGCCGGAGAGGTGAGTGCGGCGCGCTTGGACTCGCCGGGCGGGCGGACCCAGCCCAGCCCCGCTCCGCTCCCGGCGACCCGGCCCGGAGAGGAAGGCTCGCCGGTTCCTCCGTTGCCCGCCCCGGTTGGGCGAGGCCCGCGGAGCCCTCTGTCGCGGACCCGCAGGCCGTGAGAGCGCAGAGAAGCACGCGTGTTCGCAGACGGGGAATCAGGCCCCGGGGTGGGGCCGGGGTCGCCTCCGGCGTCGGTGGGAGAGCCGGCCTGGCACCCGTGGCGTTCTGGTTCCCATACTCCTGTGCCTTCCGTAGGGCCTGGCGCACTGCAGTCTGGATGAGCGCAGCCCAGACCTCTGGCACTTCCCCCATCCCCGGTGAAGACCGAAGCTCCGTACTTTTTCTCTAGCCTTCCACGGTCACGAGCCAGGCCACTGTATTTTGGGCGTACTGTGTGCCGCGTGCCTGGGACCCGTTTTCTTACAACTTAAGCCCCACAGTACCTCCGCAGAGGAAGGCGGTTAAGGGCACAGACTGCATCCCTTTTCCTGTCGAATCCGGGCTCTTCCAGCTACTGGCCCTGTGACTGTCCACTCGTCATCTAAACTGAGTACCTCGGTTTCCTTCTGTTGTGTAGGGGAACTCCTCTCTCCTGCATCCTGGAGGTTTTGTTAGGATTAAATGGCTTAATATATGCAACAAATGCTTCAAAGGGTACTTGGTACGTGGTAAGGGTTCTATTAGAGAAGTAAAACGGTGCTCACTTTTGACAAGGAGACTGAAGCACAAAGAGCTTGTCCCTGCGTGGAAAGAGCTGCCTGACTCTCAGGCGTCTTCCACAACACCAGGCTTTCAATCCCGTAGCCCTCGCCGGCCCTCAGGTTGCTCAGAACTTTGGGCACCTACGGGCCTGAGATGGAGCAGACACCTGACAGCTCCTGGTGCCACCAATGTAGACAAATCGCATTCCTGTGCCCTTGTCAAGGTTAAGGGACAGTAATGGCAGAGACTGGGTTAGATAGAGGTCAGAAATTGGGAAAGAAGGGAGGCAGAAGTGTTTGGCATAGGAAATGAAAGGCTAAATTGAACCAACATTTTGTTAGCCAGGCTGCTGTCAGAAGGTAGCTTATAGGGGCACCTGGGTGGCTTAGTCGGTTAAGTGTCCTATGGTCATGATCTCACGGTTACTGGGTTCGAGCCCCTAGTCACACTCTGCTGACAGCTAGCTCAGAGCCTGGAGCCTGCTTCAGATTCTGTATCTCCCTTTCTTTCTCTGCCCCTCTACTGCTTGCGCTGTCTCTCTGTCCCTGTCTCTCAAAAATAAACATTAGAAAGTAGCTTATAGTCAACTAGGAAGAAGAGGAAATTTCTGGGTCTTGAGTTCTTTTCAGTGGCAGTCATGCTGTTGGCCACCACATACATTTTATCCATCCATCCATCCATCTATCCATCCATCCATCCATCCATCTATCCATCCATCCATCCATCCATCTATCCATCCATCTATGAGGAGGGGCAGAGAGAGGGAGAGAGAAATCTAAGCAGGCTCCACACTGTCAGTGCAGATCTGAAAGTGGAGCTCAAACCCACCAACCCGGAGCTGATCATGACCTGAGTTGAAATCAAGAGTCAGATGCTCAACCGACTGAGCCACCCAGGTGCTTCGACGTTCTATTTCTGATCCACTAACTGGGAAAGGTAGCTCTTGCCTTCATCTTACTGATAAGGAAACCCAGACTTTAAAAACTGGGCAAAGCCCTTAGTGTTAGATGTGTAGTGAAAGAACAACATTCAGATAAATCATATGCGTCCACTTTGGGGGAGTCAGCATTATCTATGAGGTGGGAGAGAAGAGAAAGGGATAAAAGGAGTAAGTAGGGTTTTAAATACATCTGAAATGTTTTATGTCCTTGGAAGAGAAACGGGACAGAATTTAACTTCTTAAATTTGGTTGGTGAATACATGGATCTCACTTTTTATTGTATGTTTGAAATTTAAAATTAAAAAATATATATAAAAGTTAAACATAAGTATATTTTTAATACCATTTTTAACTAAGAGGTGCCTGGGTGGCTCAGTCAGTTAAACATTGACTCTTTTTTTTTTTAATATAAACTACCTTTTTTAAATTAATTCAATGCAGGGAGATAAAGTGTGAATATTTCAATAATGTAATTTTTCTGCACTATCAATATATCTAAGCATATGGTAGTATCTATGCCCTGGGTAATAAAGATTTCTCTTAAGCTCCTCTGTTATTTTATTTTATTTTAGGATTAGTGCTTTTATTTTATTTATTTATTTATTTTTTACAAATAGTTTATTGTCAAGTTGGTTTCCATATAACACCCAGTGCTCATCCCCACAAGTGCCCTCCTCCATGCCCATCACCCCCCTTCCCCCCACCCCCATCAGTCCTCAGTTTGTTTCTCAGCATTCAAGAGTCTCTCATGGTTTGCCTCCCTCCCTTTCCCCCACCATTTCCCCCCTTCTTCTCCCCCACGGTCCTCTGTTAAGTTCCTCCTAATCCTCCTATACGTGCAAACATATGGTATTTGTCCTTCTCTGCCTGACTTATTTCGCTCAGCCTAACACCCTCAAGGTCCATCCATGTTGCTACACATNNGATTTCATTCTTTCTCATTGCCATGTAGTATTCCATGGTATAGATAAACCACATCTTCTTGATCCATTCGTCCGTTGATGGACACTTAGGCTCTTTCCATGTTTTGGCTATTGTTGAGAGTGCTGCTATGAACATTGGGGTACATCTGCTCCTGTGCATCAGCACTCTTGTATCCCTTGGGTAAATTCCTAGCAGTGCTATTGCTGGGTCATAGGGGAGTTCTGTTGCTAATTTTTTGAGGAACCTCCACACTGTTTTCCAGAGGGGCTGCACCCGTTTACATTCCCACCAACAGTGTAGGAGGGTGCCCGTTTCTCCACATCCTCACCAGCGTCTAGAGGTCTCTGATTTGCTCATTTTAGCCACTCTGACTGGCGTGAGGTGGTATCTCAGTGTGGTTTTGATTTGTATTTCCCTGAGGAGGAGGGATGCTGAGCATTGTTTCATGTGTCTGTTGGGCATCTGGATGTCCTCTTTGGAGAAATGTCTGTTCATGTCTTCTGCCCATTTCTTCACTGGGTTGTTTGTTTTTCGGGTGTGGAGTTTGATGAGTTCCTTATAGATTTTGGATATTAACCCTTTGTCTGATATGTCATTTACAACTGTCTTTTCCCATTCCGTTGGTTGCCTATTAGTTTTATGGATTGTTTCCTTTGCCGTGCAAAGCATTGACTCTTGATGCTAGCCCAGGTTATGATCCCATGGTTCATGGGATCGAGCCCTGAGTCAGGCTCTGCACTGACAGTGTGAAGCCAACTTGGGATTCTCTCTCTCCCTCTCTCTCTTCTCTGCCCCTCCCCTGCTTTCTCTCTCTCAAAATGAATAAATAAATATTTTAAAAAATACAGATTTTAACTAAATAGTTATTTTAACATATATATTTTTTATTTTTATATATTTCTTCCCCTTCTTTTAATTTTAATTTATTTTTGTTGAGAGTGAGCATGAGCGGGGGAGGGGCAGAGAGAGGGGGATAGAGGATTTGAAGTAGGCTCTGCACCGACAGTGTAGAGCCCAATGCCGGGCTCTACCTCATGAGCCAAAGTCGGATGCTTAACTGAGCCACCCAGCTGCCCCAATATATATTTCTTTTAAGGGAAGAAAAGATAAAACAAAGAGGTTCACAGTAATTGCAAAATACTCTTGGGAACTAAACGCCGAAAGCCAGTGTGTCTTCGAGATTTTTAGGCAGTCTTCTTCAGCCCCCTGCTATCTGCCTCACACTCACACTTGGTACAAATAGTGCATAGACTACCCTTCACACCCCCACCCTGTCTGGAAGGTTTCACCTGTGCTCCAGTTCATTGTTCTTTGGAGAGCTTCTCTACAGTTTTCCTGAGTTTTTCCTTCATTTGGGAAGCCATAGACTCACTTCCACCTCCTTTTAATTTTTTATTATTTTTTTAATGTTTATTTATTTTTGAGAGAGAGACAGACAGAGCACAGAGGGGGAGGGACAGAGAGAGAGGGAGACACAGAATCCAAAGCAGGGTCCAGGCTCCAAGCTGTCAGCACAGAGCCCGACGCGGGGCTCAAACTCACGAACCGTGAGATCATGACCTGAGCCAAAGTCAGACACTTAACCAGCTGAGCCACCCAAGCACCGCCTCCCCCACCTCCTTTTTAAATAGAGGTATAGTTGACACACAATGCCACATTACTTT